TATTTAAATTAAAGTATTTCAGTCTGGACTCATATGTAGGAAGGCGCTTTGCCAATCCACATTGATAAGATAGGTGCCAGCCAGAGGAATCTTTTTTGAATATGAATAAATTATCTTAGTCTATAAATGGAGTTTCCCTGCGTGATCGAATCAGAAATGACAAAATCGGCAGGAAAACCAAACCCGAATTGCTAATTGCTGTGGCAGTTAGCAGGCACATAGCTCGAAGAGCTGTTGAGCCGGAAAAGTTTTCGAGTGGCGACAACGGGCTGGAAGACGTAGTGTGGATAGGCCGCTCATTAGGTGGACCGATGATCTGGTTAAGGTCGCGGGAAGTACCTGGATGCGGGCAGCCCAGGACTGGTCTTTATGGAAATCCTTGGGGGAGGCCTTTGTCCAGCAGTGGATGTAGAAAACAACGAAACTCGGTTTCTATTTCAATTATACATATTCATTAATAATCCTAATAATCTTAAGTTGAAACGACTGAAATTAACGATAAAAACTTTCAATATTAAACAACAATTCAATTTTTAAACTCACCGACTCACAAAGGAAAACCACAGAATAACTAGTTCAGCCGTTTATCAGAAAATCTGTGACCATCTACCCAGTAATGCTGTTTCACTCCGCTGGAGTTGACTGCATTTATTTAATAACATTCAGTGCTCTCTCCACTTCACTGTGACCGTACAGTGCGGGACAATGTTATGGCAGAGAAAATTATTTTTAAAGAACTTATTTTTTAACGCAATGATCCTCCAGTTGTAGGAAATTTATCTGAATATACCACAGTAACAATTTACAAAGGTGCACACGTATGTAATTACTTTCTGATACTTATGTCATTTAAAGTTAAGCACAACATTAAAGTGAGGAGTTTGTCGTCTTATATTAACACTAGCTTTTCGCCCGCGGCTTCGCCTGCGTGGAATTTTGTCTGTCACAGAAAAACATTAACACGCACGTTCCTGTTTCAAAAACAGGGATAAAAACTATCCTATGTCCTTTCTCGGGACGCAAACTATCTCTATGGCAAATTTCATCAAAATCGGCTCAGTGATTTAGGAGTGAAAGAGAGACAGACAGACATACAGACAGACAGAGTTACTTTCGCATTTATAATATTAGTATAGATAGTATAGATAATTTACTTAAAAGATAGTAGTAGAAGGAAAAGTGTTATAAAATAACCCTCCTTCTGGCGCAGTCCGGTAAATAGGTGAAATGAAAGTGGTTGATGGTTTACATAAAAAGTTTTACAGTCTACTTATATTACATTAAACTAAACATAATCTAGTGCAGCTTCAAGCTAAGTTAGCCATTCCGCACAAATCCACTCGGGCACATATGAAATATCTAATCAAACACCGTCCCAGACGTTCCTCTCGGTTCACATTATTAGTTTGCATCTTGAATTCCTGGCTAATCCAGATTCGATACAAACAGAGAACACAGTTAATAATGACTGTCTCAGTTCCTATATTAGCTCTGAGTTGGTTTACCACGATTAACTTCTTAGAAGTAAAGCTGTGCTCACACAAACTGAGGGCTTAGTGTGAGTTTACATAAAAACGTCGTCACTAGTGCATCACACGCGCGTTAAAAAATATACGAAGATTTTAGTTCTAGAAAGTTTCCGCCAGGGGCGCTGTACAATCCGTCATACATTTAATGTCACTTTTTACGCAGTCGACATCGAATGCGTTTGACTTAAACTCACACTACGCCCTCTGTTTTCAAGAAACAATTCAAATCAAATCAAATTCCAGATACATATAACTTCAGAAATCCTTGTGTTAATTTCTTTGCCTCTTTGCAGTAGAGAATAAGGTCTTTGTGAATTTAGTTTTATGCGTCTTTTAGTCTTAAAATGAGACTGCTAAAGACAATAGAGGCGAAATAAATTATAATCAAGTCACTTAGGGCATTACATTAGATGCCTGAAGTAAAATGATAAGAACTATATTTTACAGTCATGTTAAATTAGCTGATGGGGAAAATACCTACTGAATTGAGATGTTAGAGAATAATTTAAGTTTTTTTTTCAATGCACTAACTTAAATTGATGATTAATTTTTTTCACTGTACCTGTGAGAAAGACACTACCTGTGGTCGCGATCCTCATCAGTGAGGGACCGAGGAAGAAGAAGAAGAAAATACAAATAATATAATTTGTACCACTTTTGTGGAAACGCACACTTGAAATTGAATATTCCGTAAAATGTGGAGGCAGCTTTAACTTCCCCGATCCAAAGCCACTTGGAATTAAAAGCGTTACAGTAAAAAGCTCGGGAATCCCATTATCAAGAGTGACATTGACAATGTCGTCAGTCTATCGAGCTTTTTCCCTATTCGCTTTTATCTCAAATACCGATGATTAATGAAAGTTATTTAAGAATTTATATGGTGGTAATGGATTTAGCTTTACAAAGAAAAGTTCGGGAAGAAAATTTGCATTTAATTTTTTGGGAATTAGGTCAGTTCTGATGAGAAGACGATTTGTGTTTGAAAACAGATTAAACATCCCTTTCTGCAGTAAGTAAATTAAAATAAATATTTTAGCTGACTTTTTTATCTCTTTCCATTTCATTGTTTTGTCTTTCGTCCTCTGTAGAGTCCAGCGCGAAATAAGTTCTATTTTTTAGGCTTTTTAGAACATTTAAATTTTGCCCAAAATGGGAGAAAATGGGAATGTTACTTTCAACTTCTTAAGAAGATTCAAATGTGGTTTTTAATGAAATGTAGTTCAAACTTTAGATTCCCATTTTCATCCATTTGGGGAAACCTGTCGGGGGAAAATGGGAAATTTTCGTCATCATGGCCCATAATTCTGTCCCGCAGTGTACATACGGAACCAATTATCGTGGAGCCACGAGTGCGACAGTTTGATTGCTTGCTACATTGTTACGTTCGTTTGCTAACATTTCTGCGTCCTGAATAAAAGGTTTAATTAAACGCATTTGAGAAAGTGGAACACCGGAAAAATGTGACAATGTGAAAAAAACTACTCGTGACTTTTCCACAATTATTTTATATTTAGGATTTAATATCACCGTAAGTAAATGCAGATTAAAATCTTCAAGGCGGAGCATCACTCATGAAAAGTACGATTGATTTAACCCTCGCTGTACGAGGTGGGGTGTGACACACCCCAGTAGTTTAAAAATCGCCATAATTTTAAAAATTTGCAAGTGCTGAATTTGAAATTCTCAGTAGCTGCAAAATCAGTCCAGCGATGACTACCAACAGAGTTACATGCCTTTAAAGTGCGTGTGGGTTTCACACACCCCACCTGGTACGGGACGTTGTTAAAAAAGTTAAAAAATAATCTAACAGTTTTGGTATAATTTATATATTTTTAGCTTTGTTAATAGAATAAAACTCAATCCCAACTAATATTATAAATGCGAAAGTAACTCTGTCTGTCTGTCTGTCTGTCTGTCTGTCTGTCTGTCTGTCTGTCTGTCTGTTACGCTTTCCCGCTTAAACCTCGCAACCGATTTTGATGAAATTTGGCATAGAGATAGTTTGAGTCCCGGGAAAGAACATAGGATAGTTTTTATCCCGGTTTTTGAAACAGGGACGCGCGCGATAAAGTTTTTCTGTGACAGACAAAATTCCACGCGGGCGAAGCCGCGGGCGGAAAGCTAGTACAAATAATATTTTTCGTGATTTTCACGGAATCTGAAATTTTCAAGCACTTTTAGTCAAATGAGATGACTTTTAGTGCGAATCTGGAAGTTTAGTACTGAGATCCGATGACGTATGTGAACATATACTTATGGGCTGCAATTTATACTTGGTGATACAATTTATGGGCTACTGAAATGGAATAGCATATTTTATAAATAAATAAAATTGTTACACTCCCATTTTATGCATTGAGCATACTCATTTTCTTTCATCAGAATTGTAGTAAATTGAAAACCGATAATCAAAATAAATTTATACCCTTCCAGTTTTTAATTTACTTTTAAATTATAAGTAAATATCTTGTACTTTGTTAAATAAAACGGTTGTCATAATTAATGGCACTAATTAAAAATTATACATAAGAAACTGATTCCTAAATTACAAGAACAACGGAAATTGTGTCTTTTTGTTATTTTATGAAAAAAATGTTATAATACATATTTTCAGCTCAGAGCTTTTTTTACACCTAATTAGAATAAGTAAATAATCAATATTAAATATTAAATTCCACCTAAAAAAATGTTCAATGAAAATTTTATCACTTTGTATATTGGGGTATGTCATACCCCACCTGGTACGGGGCGTAACTTTTAGTCACCTCGTACACGGAGGGTTAAATCATTTATTATTTGAATCAGGATACGCTATCTGTCACAGAACGAAATCCGTAAGGATAAAACTGAGGGTAAAGCTAGTTAAAGAGCTATGTAGGTACACACGGCCACACTGTTAACTATCCATTTCCGTTTTTGCTCTCGCTCTAATCAAATGGCGATTCTTTGCGATAGAACGATGACTGGCAATGGGCAGATAACACTGTTGCCGATAGTACGTAAAAATATTTTTCACAAGACTCCTTTTAGGGATCCGTACCTAAAGAGTAAAACTCTGCTAATAGACAGTTGAAATTTTTAAAGACCGCCAGACGGAGCTACTGGGATACACCACGGGACTATTCCCACCCCTCGTTCCCGCCGCTGCAACTCCTGTGTATCTACAAATTGGCCGCTAAAAACCCAACCAAGATAGGTACTAAAAACAGAAATAAATATTTCAGGAGGGCTGCGACCAGCTTTCACAGTGCTGGCAGTAGTAATATTTGATATACTTTCGTTTCAGTCAAATGACGTCCACTGCTGGACAAAGGCTTCCCTCAAGGATTTCCAAAACGACCGGTTCTGTGCCGCCCGCATCCAGGCACCTCCCGCGACGTCCCCAGATCGTCGGTCCACCAAGTGGGGGACTAGGCACATCCCGCGACCTTTACCAGATCTTCCACCTAGTTTGGAGACTGATATACATACCTGCATGTTACAAATCTTGTACCGCACGGGTTCCCCCCTACAGCCAGCGGGGGAGGAGCAGGTCCTCAGCTGCCGGGAGACTCCTCCGTCGCAGGTCCGGGAACAGAGGGACCACTCGCTCCACTGCGACCAGCCTCCGCGGTCCTGGGAAAGAATAATAATAATAATAAATACACTTTATTGCACACTAAAGATAAGAAAGAAATGATTTGATTAAATTCGTTCTGTTACAGATTTTCCTTGCACCATTTCTTGCACATGACATTCTCATTTTGTCCAGTCTTCAGCCTTCAGCTCGAATGGTAGAGCTAGACGGCTGTCTCAACCTTATAATCAGCTGTCATTTTTTTAAACCTAATCCTCTTGAGGCTCAAAACAGTTCGTTTGTTCATTCAGCCAAGTGACGTCCATTAGGACAAGGGCTTCTCCAATCTGGACAAAAGCATCTTTCTTTATAATAATAATAATAATAAATAATTTATTTCAGACTTTCATCCATAGTTTGTTAGTAGGGATTAGTAACAATTTTTCCTTATATTATGTTAGTTGATAGTTTATGATAATATAATATTATGTTGCCGTGTTGCTCTTCTATTTTAGCTATTAGGAAGGGTTCAATATATTTTTAAAGCGAGAGCTTTACGTTTAAAATAAGTTTTTAATTTGATTTAATTAACCCTTTAAGTGACTTTCCGGCCAAGCGCCATTAGCCCATTTTAAAAAAGATACAAAAATAGAAGATAAAAACCTAGCTTGTATAAAACATTATAGGAACACCTTGCGAACAGCTAGGGGTAGAATTCGCTGCCTGCTGCTGTCTTTCCTGAACACTATAATCCGGGCCTTTTCAAGGTGAAAGTGAATAGGCACTTACAGGACAGATATGTACCATCCTAGACTGCATCTCATTTAACACCAGGTGCGATTACGGTCAAATACCTGCTTTATGCATAAATGAAAACGTGTAAAACATAAAAATGGTTCTCTAACAATTCCTGTTAAGATGAATGTTGTTTCTTTCTCGCATCGATCACAAAGCCTCCCTGAATGTATAATAAGGCACAATCCTTCATCCATATTTCCGCGACTCAATCCCGTCACATATCCATATGCCACTTTGTCAAAACCTCTGCGAAGCATCGATCAGCGTAAAGGCAAATGGATCACAGTTTGGATACAAATAACACATTTATTTGTTATGAGATGTAGGTATGTATTTATGTAAAAGCCACAGAAAATGCTGAAAAACTGATATCAAAGTGGCAAATGAGATGCAACCATCATTTTTGCATGATTTCTGCTATTTTTTATTTATTTATCGTGTCGACAACAAACCTACACAGCGTCAGGCCAAAACTCCGCCACAAGAGTGGCGTTGTCAGTAGCCTTCATTAAATCTTCCTGCGTGCAGTTGTTTGGGCACGCAGGGCACGACACCATGTGCTTCGTCGACTGGGGAACAAAACTTAACACTGACCTGTGTGCTTACCATGAGTTTACGTTAGGTGTGCTCGCTAGCGACTACGTAAAAAAATGACATTAATTGAATGACATATGGTGCAGCGCCCCTAGCGGCTACTTTCAAGAAACAAAATCTTCATAGAGATTTTTGACGTACTCGCTAGCGAGCACACTTAACGTAAACTCATGGTAGGTACACTGTATATACCACTTGACTGGCTGCTGTCATAATATTTTTGTGCCTATTTGAGTTTCGCCATTTTGGCGCTGTATGCCATACTGTAGGCAGATACGATTGTCTATGGAAATAAAATTAGTGAATTTCTTTTTCGCTTACTCCTATGGCTATTCCATAGGCATAATGTACGTCAAAATTAGCTATCGGGATAATCGTAGTGACGCTTCAAATTGGCACACAAAATCAGCTGTCATTTGTATGAGACAACCTGTTCACTACTGTCCAGTATGTGACCTCTAGTCAGTGTTTTTTTTTTTTTGAAGGGACGCGCGCTGGTAGCTTGAAGAGCTTTTCCAGCTCTAGTCAGTGACTAGTATGCATATTGCAAAGGTCACTACAATAGAAGCAAATAATCTGCTATCGTAGCACATTTGGCAGCAAACCAGTTAATATTTGCACTCATGTAACTAGCGCTACATACACGGTTAGTTGATACCGTTGAAAAGTGTTCATTTTGTATGAAAATAAATCCATTTAATAGCACAGAGATTGATTGAGCAATTATTTTTTTAACGTATAATTTAAATACTTTTTTAATCTTCAGAGTAATTTTCGACCATTGATAGCGACAACGACATAGAACGAAAAGGTGTCAGACTCGCCAACTCCGAGAAACGCATCTGTGGTCTAGTGGTAAGACCACCTGCTTCAGACGCAGAGGTCCCGGGTTCGATTTCCAAAGGGGGCAGATTTTTCTGTTCGGTTTGGTTGGTGATAGGGCTTGTTCTAAGCCTGCCTGGCTAGCTACCACCATCTTACCTAAGTCTGTCGCCATAACAACAATGTTAACAGCATTGTTGTATTCCGGCAGTTAGAGATAAGATAGCCATCCGTGGTTGAGGATTCCAGGTGAAGCTCGCTTCCACCTTCGGCCAGATCGTCACTTACCATCAGGTGAGATACAGGCCAAGAGCTTCCTCGTTGTGGATAAAAAAAAACGCGGGTTCGAACGCCTCTGGACTATTATGGTGAAAACACTTGTAACACAAGCATTTAGCCATAGACTACCATAAGGGGTTAACGGGACTATTATAAAGTGCNGAAAGTGCAATATTCAAAAAAATATTCTTTAAAAAATAAGTCCTTGAAATTATACGTCTCAACACTACAAAGTAGTATATTATTCATCTCTAAATCATTCTTCTTTCTTTCTATTTCTTCACAACTCCGAAACAAATGATTTTTGGCCAAATTTTATTATATTTATAACAAAATACTGAACCCTATGACGGGATTCCGTGCGTGACTGTTTTTGCATGCGACTGACCGGAATATTTAAAAGGTCGAGTCTGGAGGTCTATTCTCAAATATGTTCGTATTATTCGATAGTTATTCATTTATTTATGTAATCTTTAATGCCATATTGTGGTCCATAAGGCGAACTTAGTGCCACTGACTGACTCACTCACTCATCACGAAATCTCAGAAACTACAAGTGCTAGGAGTCTCAAATTTTGTATGGGAGTTCCCTTTAAAACGTAGTTGCTCACTAAGTCGGGATTTTGCAAGATTCAACCCCTAAGAGGGTAAAACGGGATCCACGAGTACGAATTCGCGGGCGGCCGCTAGTTATAGCAACAAAGGCTTTCAAATAAAGATAGAGTCTAAAATTACAGAGTAGGACCCCAGGTCAGCAGGTTTTTAACGCTTTAGTTTCAGCTGAATTTTGGGATGCTATTGGGATTTGAGTTATGTGTGATATGTGAAACGGATTTAGATGAAACCAGGCGTTTTGTCAAGGGAATGTGTTGCTAGTAAGAAGAAGTATAGCCGTACCATTTTTCATCTGTGTACTTTCTTTTGTCCGTATTTTTGGGGCAATTATATCACTGTGATGGAAGAATATAATAGTTTTCTTCTATCTTGAGGTTTTAATTACAAACTTACAATCAAACTATACGCTACCATCAGGACCTGATGAGGTCAACAATATCAGGCCATTGCGTATAATAGAGATGTTTCTTGGGTAAAAAGCAAGATAAATACTCGCCACGTATTTTCCACTTATTCAAACTAATGAAAATGGAAAGAGATAAAGCGCGCCAAAGTTCAAAAGATGAGGCCCGTGACGTCAAAGCATGCTTAAAAGTGTAGCACTTTGTGAAGTCACGCGGAACTTCAACGCATCATAACTTCGTAATTACTTGTCTGACAAAATTAAATGAAAATACACGACGTGTCCAATATTTTTTGATAATGTTATTGACGGACTAAAATAATAAAAGCGTAGTATTGAGAATGTAAGAACTACTCTATAACGTTGTCAATATTCATAATATAAAAACATTCCTAAATCTTAGTTAAACTGTATCCAAACGCATTCGCACTAAAGCGCCAGTTTCCGTTTTTTTGCGATACAAAGAGAAACAAGCAACCATTTAGGAACGTTTTCTCACAAAATAACTTACGGTAACGAGAAACAATGTTACAAAGAAAAGGTGTGTTATGTTTTATAACATACAAAAAGGTGTTTCTCAAAACGAAATGTTCGGTGCGCTTTTTGCTAACATATTTGCTATTCTTGATATACAGATACTGTTGCGTGCATGTCTCTGAAGAAAATAACTAGTTCTACATATTTATCAAAAGCACAAATTGAAATACCTACGTTTCCAGGTGGCTAACAGTGAGGTTGATTGGTTCTCCATAGAAACTTTTGTCTTCATCCTTTAAAACTTTTATTTTTGACGCAATATAAGTATTTGTATAGTTAGTACCTACTGTATGTTTAAACTTGTTTATCAGTGAATTAAGTAAATAAGTATCAACTTTGTCTCTTTTTCTGACATAAGGTGACCATCATCATCATCACTTCAGCCATAAGACGTCCACTGCTGAACATAGTATAGGCCTCCCCCAATGATTTCCACATCGTTTAGTTGGTAGCGGCTTGCATTCAGCGCCTTTCTGCTACCTTTATGAGGTCAACGGTCCACCTTATTACTTAGTTCATAAAAATATAATCTACATACTCATAAGTTATAAATAGACAAAGTCAAAATATAATGGACGAAAATACTTTGGTGACTAATAAATCCAAAGAGAAATTGGAGCCTACCATTTGCGACAAAAAACCCGTCTCCAAACATGAATTGAAGCTCAATGCTGAATCAAAACTCACAAACCCATTCAGGTGCTCCACCATACATTTTTTTAACTGACACCTACCACTTTATAGATCGAGCTCAGAGAAAATGGCGGCGGAAATACGTGACACTAAATAAATAACGGCCTGAGTGAGTTTTTGTTGTCAAGGCTGTCATTTTTAGGGGTCCGTGGGACAGCGTGAATTTGTGCTCTGAGGATATTTTTTTATTTCGGATATCCGAAAGTTACGGTTACGGATATCCATAACATCCCTGGTTTTGATGAATGGTTTTTAAAATGGGCTGAAAAAGCTAGCCCAGGAAGAAAAGGCTCTTCGCCCTTTGGAAAAGAACATGGC